AACGTGTTTCCAATAAAAAAACAAGTGTTGCAACTAGAACTAGGGCAATGAGAGCATCACAATGATATCAAAGTTTTGAAGAATTGATGAAGGAATCTACCTATTGAAGTTGAGCAGAGCTCTGAAACTGGACTTTTGTGGAGTAATATAGGGCACGATTCTTGAATGTAATTATATGGTTAGCTTGAGGGAAGATCAAGGAAGGTGAATTGATGGAAAAGTTGGATTGAAAAAGGATTGAGAATAGATTTCGAAGTTGCTGAATTTTGAGTTATGGAACAAGTTTGGCAGGGTGATTCTGGATGAATGGGGAGTGACCCTCTATTTATAGGGAATCAAACGGAATGTCCAGGCGTGTGAAATGATGAAGTTTGGAGGGAAATCGTGTGAAATTGCAAACAAGAAAAGTGTGACTTCTAATTTGATCAAAACTCATCCAAAACACGCGTTTTGCTATGCTAATCACTTTTGGAAGTTCACTAAACATGTTCAGAAGCAAAAACACGCAGAAACAAAGTGTTTAGAAGCCAAATCAAGGATTTCAAACTTCTGACTTGGTGAAAAATTCAATTTCAAATTGCCAACTTCTGACCAATGGCATTCTCAGCTCAAGGGGTCTTACGACATGATTCTTGATGCTTTAGAAAGATGAGGTTACAAGCTTTACAATGGAAAAAGAATGGAATCAAATGGATGCTTGAGCTGAAAGTTGCATTGAGTCAAAGTTGGGAAAAAGAAGTTGACTTTCCATACTTAGAAATATTTCATCTTTTCCTTCAAAAGTGACCTATAATGTCTTGCATCCAAACATAGCCTTCCACTTGAAATTTTCTCTTGACCAAAAAATATGGCATGAAGTAGATCTCTTGAATGACATTTTGAGACTTGAACCATTCAAAATCTCCAAAAATTGATAGAGTTATGACTTGTTGAAGTTGGAAAAATTTCATAAAATGACCTATAAGCCTTAGTATCCTTAAGGAAACTTCTATCCATTTTCTCACTTTGCACATAAAAGAAGGCATAAAGTTCACATCCTAAAGATAATTGTGGAAAAAGAATGGGCTTAAGGTGATAAAAATTGACCAAGTTATGATCATTTGAAGTCACACATGGAAAATTGGAGATTCATTTGGAGGACTTGTAATCTTTCTTCTTCATCAAGTTTCTTCCACATTAAAACTCCTTGTAAATTATGAAGTTCTTTGTTGATAACCCTTTTAAGAGAATTATTTCTTTGGAATAATTCAAAAATACCAAAATATGAGCAAGATATACTCCTTTGAAGTTCAAAACACTAGCTCCTAGATCAAGAAACATGCCTTGAGGAAATTTGACAATTTTGAACAAACTTCTTGTACCAACACAAATTCTTTGTAAATATAAGTTGTTGAAGATGATAAATAGAACTCCTAGAAACCACAACCACTTCCATATCTTGAGAATCGAGATAAATATGCATTTGTGATCAATGGGAACAAAGCCTTGTTCAAGCATGACAACTTCTCTAATAAATCCCTTGTACTTTTGAACCAAATTTGATAATCTTGAAATGTGGTGAACCAAAATAACTTTGCCATGCCATTTCCTAAAAACCAAATCCAATGGTGAGGTTTGAACTTCTCAAGCTTTATTGACTAGGGCATGGAAATAAGCTCATGAACCCATTGAGAAACTTGCTGAATCTTATTGCCTTTACTTACATGAGTAACAAGAAAGATAAACCAACATTGAATTTTATTAATTAAGAGGAGAAATAAAGACAAAAAATATTCATGATCACAAAAGAATACAAGTCAAGGTTCTTGGTGATCCCTCAAAGAGCAAATCTATATATAGGGAGGAGAACCAAGAATCCAAATGTGATCTTATTGTGAATGAATCAACATGGTATGATGAATGGATCTTAGGAGCAAAAATTGGGGTACAACAAAGAGACCTAAACATCTTTCGCACCAATTTGTCTTATGGAATTTTTTCTCCTAAAGCACTGGAAGCATTAGCAATCTCAAGAATATTCGTATGGAAGTCATTAATGCTTTCATCATCCTTCATTCTCAGATTTTCAAATCTGGTGGTGAGCAACTGAAATATTGACATCTTCACTTTGGATGTGCCTTCATGGGTAGATTGAAGAATACCCTAGGCATCCTTAGCTACTTCACATGTGTTCATTAATCTAAAAATGGTCTTGTTAATTCCATATAGCATTCAAGGCTTTAGAATTTCAAAGAGCAATTTCATCCTCTTCTTTAGACCAATCTTCTTCTGGCTTTAACTCAGAAGTAGGTTCTCCATTTTCTCCCAATTTAATAGGGTGTTTCCATCCTTTTAAGATAACTTTCCAAGCCCTGTTGTCCAGATACTTTAGAAAGGCCACCATAGTTGGTTTCCAATAGTCATAATTGCTTTCATCCATAATGGGTGGTCTTCTCACAAATCCTCCTTCCTTGTCTATAGTACCAGAAAGTATCTTCCCTAGATCTCACCAAGATATATAGTAGGATGCCTGCTCTGATACCAATTGAAATTCTGGTATCAGATAAGTGATGTCAAAGGAGATATCACAACACAAATATATGAGGACAATATAAAATGCAACAATATTAAAAGCAGTAAAAACACAAGTGATTGTTAACCCAGTTCAGTGTACAACAATACCTACTCTGGGGGCTATCAAGCCATGGATAAGTCCACTAAATAGTATCAATTCATAGACCCTCAGTAAACAACCAGTTTACGATTTAATCACTTAATCACTACCCGTACTATGCTTCTACCTAAGACACACATATGTATGAGGTCCTCCTTAAATCCATTCAATCACTAACAGTAAAGAACAACAGAAATATTATGTTTTAAAGACTTCAATCATTCAATACATAAAATTTATGAATGATCCATAATTAACAACTCAAATTACAACTCAAGTATTAAACCAATACTTAGAGTGTATTACAATTAAAAAACTTAGACTTCTAAAACAGAAAGAATATATTCTTCTTCAAAAGTTGCAGTCAAACGAATAAGAATGCAAGTCCTTATAAAGGCGCAACAGTGGACTTGGGCTGAAAAACAAACATTCCAATCCCTTGAATATTTCCATGAAAACATGACAAGATATAATCCATAAGGATAATGCAAATAGAAAAATATTCCTCCATATTTTTCACAAACTATGAGTCACAAATCCTGAATAATGGCGCGCATAAAAATAGGAAACAAAATATTGGAAACAAATATTAAGCCCCATTCAGATCAGGAGGCAGATGTTAAGACATCTGCTTTGACATCATTCAAAACCAGTTTGTTTCAAATGTCAAGACATTTAGCAAAATATTATCAAGTCAGTGTTTTACCAAAATTGCTGCCAACAAATACTTACAATCTTCAACTTTCATGTTGATCATTTTGGATAAATCAAATGGGAACTTATTGAAAATTGGCCAAGAAGTTGGGATAAAAAAACTGATCAAAACTTGTTGAATATTTTTCTAAGTGTTGGATAAAAAATATCACAACTTCATAGACTCATATTTCTTAATCCAAACACTTTTTGAGGATCATCCCACATTAACAAAGTTGTAGAATTCATTAATCCCTACAACTTTCATGTTAAAAATTTTCCTTGAATCTGCTTGTATCTTGAGGAAACTTGCTTGTGAAGTTAGGGTTTTTTAAGCATAAAACACTTGAATTTTTCTAAGTGTTTGAAAATCTTTAATTTGACTTTTGTTCACTTTCTTCATTCTCTTGATTCTTGATGACAAAGTTTGATAGTTTTGAATGTTTTGATGATTATTGATTTTTGAATTCCAATGTTGACCAAAAAATTCAAAGTTTGACTTTTGTGTGACTATTGACTTTTCATCAATTGATTCAATTCTTCAACTATCAATCACTTGTATCTTTGGATATGTATTGAGCCATGTAATTAGGTGAAGATGTTGTATTTGAGCCCTTGAGATCATGCTTTAAGCCTTTAGGTCATACACTAGGTCAAAAGTCAATGATCAGTCATCTTCAATCAAAACCCTAATTTTACAATTTTTTACCTTTGATGATTTAAGGGCTCTCCTTGAGCAATCATGATCAACCCTTGATCAAATGATAAATGACACCTCAAAATATTGATGTGACAAATTTTTTTGAAGTTTGACTGTATGTTGACCATAGTTGGCCTTTTACCCAATACAGTTGACTTTCAATCTTCTTGAGCCATTGATTGAGCAAACATGTGATGCATGACTTGAAACTTGACACAAGCATTATTGAGGACCTATGATGAATCATGAAAGTCAATTAAGTCCCTTGCAGACTAATTTTCTTCGAGAAGCACTAAACCCTAGTTGAAGACCATTGCTTTGGAGGAGGTTTGACCAATCAACTCTTGAGTAGTTTTGAGTATTTGAGACCTTTTTTGAGATCTTTTAAAGAAATATATTTTAAAAGATTAAAATTTAAAAATAGAGGAACAAAAGTGCATTTAAATCTATGTTTTTTTTTTAAATTTTTTGAGATTTTTGTTTTTTCTAATATAAATGTGCACCTTAGCTGCCTTTTTAGTTAGTCTAGTTAATTTCTTTTATACTTTTTTTCTGCATCTTTAAAAATTATACTCTATCATTAAATATTGACACAATTGTAGCAAATAAGCTATTATTTTCGTCCCCCAAAATAACAAAGAAAGTGATTTCGTGAGATTTGATTTACTACTATATTAGGTTATCGCTATTTAAAGGAATTTCATATAGAACATTATTTAATGTATCGTACTAAATTAGTTGGAGAAATAAAGAGCATAAAGATCCACCTAAAATTAGACTACAAAAATTTAGCATATTATCACCATGTTTTTCTCCTCACCACTCGCAAACAAGAAGAATATATATTTAACATTGCTTGCAAGATTTTTGGTATATAAATTAAGCAAATCAATTACTCTTACAAGATTTATAAATTGAGCGAATCAACTATATTGATCTCATACATCAGAACACATGCAACAACCAATGAAAGCAAAATTTTCAACAATGGTGGCATCAAAGAAAATAATATCCACCCTGCTAATTTGCTTGGTGATTACTATGGCCTCTGTTAAACAAGCGGAAACTCTCTCAGATTGTGCCAAACAATGTATGCCCGTGTGCTTGAAAGAGCATGGTGCTACGATCATGATATGTGGTCCAGCTTGCGAAAATTTTTGTCGCCAAGCTACTGGTACATCCTCCTCAAAAACTTATCATGGATAACTTTTAACTGGGTTATGTAGCATGTTGCATCTGGGACACGTACCACATTTGTTTTGATGTTTTAATTACAGTTATGTTTATTGTTGAACTATTGCTGTAAATAAAAAAATTTAAAATCTATTATATATATTGAGAATATGTTGGTATCTTCTAGTTTCTTATTCAGAACACTTAGGGTTTTTTGGTAAACAATTAAAACTCACATAATAATTAAGATTTAAGACTTTCATCATTGAAAAAAATAGTTATACATTTTTTCTTAAATTTAAGATTTAATAATTAAAATATAAGGATAGTTATACATGCAGAAATTGTAAATAATATTTTGTACGTATGATTGTATTTAAAGACATATTAAAAGTAATATTTATATATATTTTATTGTCTAAATCTAAATGTTTGTATTCAAATGTGATTTTACAATTATATAATCGTAAAAAGATTAAAATAAATAATAATTAAGACTTTGAACATTTCATCATTGAGAATAATATAATGGTTATATACTTACTCTTCCTAATGTTTTTCTTAATTATCAGTAAAAACAAATGATATATCATTTGAATTGATTGAATAATGTTCTAAATTATCCATATTATGTATGTTATATTTACTCAAATCGCAAATTTACAATTATGTACTGTTAATGAGAAATTGACTTATGAAATTAATTATAGGTTATTTATGGATCATTATAATTAATAGCATTAGATTGATAACTAAATGAAGTTATTTCAGTTTCATCTTTATTTCAAGTCTTGTAATTTATTTTTAATTTACAGGTTTTTTTAATTGTTTTATTATTATTATTATTATTATTATTATTATTATTATTATTATTATTATTATTATTATTATTATTATTATTATTATTATTATTATTATTATTATTATTATTATTATTGCCGTTTATTATTGTTAATTTAATTATCATGTTGTTCTTAGTTGCAATTGTTATGTTTAATTCATTTTCATTTAATAATATATCTAACTAAATAGTTTTGAGTCCGGTATGTGAGAATCGTTGTTTTCGACGGGATTCGGTAACGAAGTTAGAGGTTACTTAACACGATTTTGTCACGAGAGTGGGAAATTAACTAAAGTTCGAGCCGACACTGCGAGAGCGTGGGGGTCGAACCGGATAGTAAAAACTAGGCATTAATTTTAAACACAGCGAGAGCGTTTTAGGATTAATTAGAACTTGTTCAGTTTTCAAAACACATTCCTTAATTAAAATAGGCGAGCGAGAGCAAAATCTCATGGTTAAGGAATGTGACTTTATTCAAAACCACGAGAGTGTGAGGATCAGTCTTTAAATTAATATTTCATACTAAACACATTTTTAACATCGGTATAAGTCAACGAGTTACAGAGTCCCAAAGGTACAAGAAATACACATTACAGTCTCTCTTTTTTTATATATTTTCTTAATCTTATTTTATTTCAGTTTTAGTTCTTAGTTTCCCCTAAATTAACCATTCTTTAGCCTTAGCTTTACAAAGTGACAATAGATTACAGTAGATTGATATTGGTCTCTGTGGGTTCGACAATCTTTTATATTACTTTGATATTTCTGTGCACTTGCTGACACATCAAGTTTTTGGCGCCATTGCCGGGGACCAACAATCAATATTGTTATTTCCGTTGTTGCACTGTATAGACTAAGGCACTCTAAACTTACTTACTATGTATCACCCAGATTTTTTCTATAACTCCCATTCTCAATATTTCGAGAAATCACAAGAATCCCATAAATCCGACCTCAAAATACTGATGGAAGATAATAATGCTTCACTAACTCACTCTTACTCAAATTACATCTACAACTACCAATCCAAACATTTTAAGGAGTTGCAAGAATCCCATAAATCTGATCTCAAAACATTAATGGAGGATTATAATGTGAGGTTAACTTATCCTCAACCAAATTTCCTCTACAATCACCACGCCAAATTTTTTGGGGAGTCGATAGAATCCCAAAATTCCACTCTCGACTCATTAATGGAGGATCTCACTGCGACACTAACTCGCTCTAGGCTAGAATCTATGATGATGGAGCGCTATGTGAAAACACAAAATGTCACGCTAACTCACTTTGAGGAACTACAGGAACCCCATAATTTAAACCTCGAAACATCAATGGAGGATTTCAATGTGATGCTGACTCACTCTAAGCTAGAATCTATGATAGGGCACTTTTTAGAGACCCAAAATTTTCAAAATGAAGAGTTAAGAAATAAAAGTCTTCATAATAATGAAACCCTTAGAGATTTGTACAATGCAGTTGAGTCTTTTGCGACTCACAACAGGGAATTGGAGACTCAAATCTCCCTGCTTGCACAAAATCCACTAGGACCCTTCCCTGAGGAGAATGTGGATGTTGTAACAACCAGTAGTGAAAAAAAATCGAAAATCCTAAGGAGAGTGATAATAAGGTTGAAGAGAGTAATAATGAGGTTGAGAAGAGTTATGGTGAGAAAAGAGTAGAGATTGAGAAAAATATACTGACGCTATTTGAAAGGGAGGTTGTCTAAGAGGTAGAAAAGGAAACATCTATTACTTTTCCTCCTCCCTATACCCCACCAATTCATTTCCCGCAAAGATTTGTGGAAGCCAAGATAGATTCCAAATCCAAAATGTATACGGAGGCATTGAAAAATATCCACATCAATGCACCTTTTCCTGGGGTCCTGCATAAAAAGAGAAAATTTGAGTACCATGAAACTAGGGAAATCAACAGTTCTATGAGAGGAAGGTTAGTCTTTGAGGTAGTGTATGAAATAACTAAGCCCAAACTTGAAAAGATGATACTAAAGATAGATCCAGAACCACCGCCACAAGTTCAAAAGAATGAACCACCCTATAGAAGAAAGAATAGAAAAGGTGACGGATATGTGAGATGACTTGATAAGTGGCCATGGAAACCAAAGACGATTAAAAATTTGATCGAGGAGTCATTCTCAAGAGAATCACCATGAGTGCTGATACTCTTGAATCGTCGAGCTACCAACGTTAAAATAAGCGTTGCGTGGGATGCAACCCACGAGTTTCAATTTAATGTTTTTGCTTTTATTTGAGTTTGCAGAAAATAAAGATATTGATTGTTTGGCACCTATCAGTTGTAGGTAGGAAACTATTGAGGCGAGCATTGATTGGGTTCTTATTCCTTTTCCCACTTTTTACTAAAACATTGAGTACAATGTTTGGTTTAAGTGTGGGGGAGGAACTTTACCGCTTTCCATTTAAAACTTCTTATTTTGATGTATTTCTTTCTATTTTATTGCATGTTTTTAAGATTTTATCTATTTCCAATATTTGGTCGAGTCATTGCATGTGATGTCAATTCTGTATGCTTATTTTTCAATTGTTACTGAATTTCCCTGAATTTTTAAAAAATTTAAATTTTGACCTCCAAAAACAATTTTCTTGTTGATGCATGGCACACACACTCTGAAAGTATATAGGTTGTCACACTTTAGGTTATGTTAGAGAGACTTAGGAAAGTTTCGATAAAATCGATACCATTATGACACCATAAACCCCCCTCATGTGATATCAATTTGGGTACCCATTATATCGAGATCTTAGGCTAAAATTTTCAAAGTAGCTCTTAAGTAGTTTATATTAACAGTCAGGACCATCTTAAACACAAACTACATAGGGAGTCGATGAATATAAGTGAATGATCCCAAAAATTCTACAGAATTATTTTCCATTATAAGTTTAAAATAGGGAATGCACCTATTAAGTTAGGTGACCCTCAACCGGTCACTTAATCTAATGGTTGTGGAACCTACAAAAATATAATATAACAACTCGTCGTTAGTTGGTTCAGAGGTGTCTGGTACTGAACTAGGTAGGGCGGACTACGGTCTGATCCCATGAAACTACGATTGGTTAAATAAAAGGGGTTACCAAACTTATGTATTAGAACCCCGAGAAAAGGATCATAGTCACTAACCTATTTTCCTAGTATGTGTGTGTACGAATAACAAGCTTAATTCGATTGCGCTTGAATGAAAAGAGCGAAATAGAAACGAGAGATATAGGTTGATCTATAATGGCGTGATTCAAATTGGTTTGCATAAAGGGGAGTCTTTGAACGTCGTGTCATTACGGTGTCCTTGGTATTGAACATTTAATACCTATTGATCTAACATTCTCCTAGCATCCACGTATGATTAGGAGTTATATTGTGTCCTTGTTTCAAATCACGCTTAATAATTTCTTTTACCGCGTTGGTTGATTGCTTGAGGACAATCAATGGTTTAAGTGTGGGAAATTTTGATAACGTGAAATTATATCGTATATTCGACTTGATTCACATGCACTTTTATATTGTTTTTCATTTATTTTATCTTGTTATTCCGGTATTTCTATTTCATTTCAGGTATTTACATTTCACAAGGCTCACATAAGAAAAGAGGAAGAAATAACAGAAAATGTGTGACTCTGTAGCAGAAAATAAAAGAAACTACATCAGAGGTCTGTGACGGTCGTCACAGCCTCCTATCGGTCGCCACAATATGTGTGTATGTGTGCCCCTCGGCACACATGTGTTCCGGTCGCCACAGTTTTTACTTGTGTGCCCCAAAGCACACAAGTCACGCTCCTCACCATAGTCTGTTTATTACGTGTTCTCTCCACGTTTGCAACGAAGCTCCCATTATTTTCTCAACTTCTTCGACCATGATCTGCATTATCTCCACTGTCTCCAACTTCCCACTCTCTCCACCTTCTTCAGCTTCCCATTATCTCCACTACTTCTCACATGAATCTGAAGGTAACTTCCATTAGATCTCAGTATAAAAAGGATCCAACGGTCATTTTTGAGGGAATCCAAATTTGTGCATGGAAGCGTTATTCTTAGTTTTAGGCAGAAGTTACTTTCGTAAAAGTGGTAGTTTCTCACACCGGGGAACTACCACACTACTAGTACTAGTACTCTTTTGTGTAATTTTTGTGTAACTTTCTTGGATCAACAATCTTGTCATTATTAT